TGTGTTCTAGACATCTAGTCTACCATTAGATAATGCGATCATAGATTCACACTATCCTCTTCACCCGAAAATAGCGCCCAGGCGTTGTATACAACAGCACTCGGCGGCCCTTATACTCGTTTATAACACCCAGCCTGACCCAGGCATTATATTCAGTAAATTGGTAGCAACTACAGTGGGGTCCCAAAATTAAAAAAAAAAAAAAAAAAAAAAAAAAATCTATTAAAAAAAAATGGTGTCTAGAATTTCAATGCAACCATCTTTTGGCTGAAGGCCATTTCAGAATTTCTTACAAATCCGGGAAAAAAATGAACATAAAACAAACCAAAACATATGGTTACATACCCCTTGGAAGTCGAAACTCCTTTCAACCCCCTTTAAAACCCGTGTATACCCCTTACTCCCCCCTTTAAAACCCACTCCATTGACCAGGCAGTGTAATGAGCCTCGAAGCTCACCACATGATGGAGTGTTCAAGCCAACATGCAAGTCTCACAGATTCACGAATTGCATTGTCACACACATTGCTCAGATGAGTAAAAAGACCAGATACCACAGCTCAATTATCACAACCAGATTATAGAGAGAGAATCATGAGTTCAACTGTCCAGCGCTCAACAAGATTACAAGTCTTCTTAAATCATCGAAAGTCTCAACATCTGCGCTCATCAGCGCTCGTCATCCACACGAAGTTCAGCGCTTTTCAGGTAAGTGGCCACCATGTCTCACTCTCTCTCTCTCTTATCTATCTCTCACTTGATGATTCCGGTCTTCTCTCACATGCGCACTCCCTACTACTAACACTCACATGAGGATAAACTCTGAATACTACTCACTGGTCTACTACTACTAACTACTAACTATATTACTTCCTAATGCTGGCGCAGCTATGGCTGCCTTCTTCTCTGCTAGCGGCTACTCCCTCTCTCTCATCTCAGTCAGCGCTGCTCTTTGGCCTTGTGCAGCTCCCACACAAATCACCAGTGCGCAAGCACTTCCACACTCTCGTGTGAATGAGCATCTGCCCGAATGGTAGGATGGCCAGTCCTTTTGTAGTCTTTGATGCACTTCAACTCGTGCCAGCCTCTGCTTCTTGGGGCCTAACTGAGTTCCGGTACCACATTCCCACAGCCTGACTGCTTCTGAATGGTAAAGCCTGGAACCTTCCCGAATTTCCTTTGGTCTGCTGCTGTTTGGGCCTTTGAGTTGTGACCTTTCACTTGCGGACATGACTTTTGACTGTGAACCGTGACTCCTACCTCTGAATCACGACTTTTGGCTGTGGAACAGTCCTTTATTCGTGGGATGTGACCCTTCAGCATAACTTTTCATTATAAAACGTGACTCCTGTTTTTGAGACATGACTCTTGCTTGTGAATCTGCCTTTACTCTTGTGATGTGACTGTTTGCTGGGTACCTTTTTTTTTTTTTTTTTTTAAACAGGGCCTTATGGACCTGGCTCCTTCTATTCTGGGGAGCGTCAGTCCGGTTCCTATTCCACCAGCAAGTCAAAAATACATTACAACAATTACCCATCACACACGCTTCCTTCCGTCAGGCCGAAGGACCCCTGAGCAGCATTGATTGCTCCACTATGGGAGGATTGACTGTCAGCTTGCCCTGTCCCTCTCTTTCCTCTCAGATCCGGAGTCCAGATCTGTCCTGAGCAGCATTGATTGCTCCACTACGGGAGGATTGACTGTCAGCTCCACTATGACGGTTGGGTTGCCTTTGACTTTCCCGGTGGCTTTCTTTTGCCATCTGCTATCAGCCGGGGGGAGGATGTCTGGCTTTTTGGTGGGGGGGGACTGATCAGCACAGTGCCAGACCCAGTCTGGTTCATCAAGGTTGTCATCGAAGACCCAACCGTCATAGCAAGAATCAGCCACATACCAAATACCGGGAGCATCTTCCACTTCTACCAGCATGTTCGGTAGAAGTTTTCTTTCTTTTGCTTGCTTTGGAAACTTGGGACAGGTCGGGTCAGTGCCCAGGTGGCCTCTTTCTCTGCATCGAAAGCAGATCGGTGAGGCTCTTGTGGAGATCCTTACTTCGATCACCCTGTTCTCAATCTGGAACTTCCAGACCTGTGGGAAAACAGGGGGATCGTCTGTCTGTACATCCAGGATTGCTGTCAAAGTGCCACAGTGAGGCGCCAGAAAGTCTGGTGTCGGAAGAATCCATTTCAGAACTTTGTTCGCTGTGTATTGTCTCTCGAGCCTGTCCACCAGTAAACCGTGGAAGCCTGGTTGAATATTGTCGAATTGAACCCAGAAATTCTCCTTCATTAAGGTCTGTTTGTAGGAGACTGCGAATCCTGGGGTCTGTCTCTGGGCTGAGAGTTTCTTCCACCTTGTGATCGTGCAAACTGAGCCATGGCAGTTTCTGGATTGCATTTCAGCTGCAATCCTCGCGTGGTCCTCATGGATGAATAACACCATGATGTTGTTCCGGCCCAAGTTTTGCAGTGAGAAGGTGTCACCTATCAGTTTGCATCTTGGTTCCTTCCGAATTGTATCTTTTACCCATTTTCTTTTCTCTGTTGGCTGGGGATCTGCCCCGTGGCGTGCGAAGTTAAACACCACGCCGTGGTTTTCATGCAGTTCGTACAGCTCGGCGATTTTCTCTTCTATGTATTTCCAAATGACCACTTCTTCTTCTTTGCCTTCCACTATCTGTTTCTCAGTGGATTCGATTCCTTGGACCTTCGTCTTTTCGATTAGGAATTTGAGCGCTTCGTTATCGATAACATTGACAGTCTTCTCGGGTGTTTCTTGCTCGATTGGCACCGTGGCATGTGTTGGGTTAGCCATCTTTCCTCCTTTAATCAAACGGATCTGTCCCCTTAGATTTTGGTAAGCTGTCTGTTAGTCCTTGTGTGTGGGGGGGGGACGAGGGGGAGGGACGGGA